CTGTCTCATCTTCCAGCATCTTTTTGATGTTTTTGACAGGTACAAAAAATAATTCAGCCATGGTTCGTTTGACATTGACACCTTTCATAAGAGTGGGAGTAAGAGTGGGATTATCCTGGCTGACGTCCAGGTGTAACAGTCTGATTCCACGTACCACCATTGTGTGAGAATTTGATAATCATAATGACATGCCTGTTTCTCTGTTTGAGCAAATGCCATCTTTCAGAATATTGCCTGTGCTTGATTCTGACTGATTATGATGTTTATGTCTAGATTTCTCTAAGTTAAGGCAGGTGGGGGCAGCACAGTGGTTAACATTGCTGCTTTGCAGGATGGGGGCCGTGGATTCAGTTGTAGATAGACTTAGGGTGCTATCTGCATGGAGTTATTCTGAAGTTATGGAGTATGTTCTCCCTGTTTTTGAAAGGGTTTCCTCTGGATGCTCCGGTTTCTTCCCATAGTACAAAGATATATTGGTTGGTTGATTGATTTCTGGGAAACTTGGCCCTGGTTTGAGGATGTACATGTCTATGTTTGTTTGTGTGCTTCGCTTCCTGTGATCGACAGCATGCAACAGCCAAGCAAGTAGAGTGTGTGCCATATTCTAATAAATGATACCTGGACACCTACTTGTTGTACTCATTCATTGTCTTTACTTGAAATTCACACTTGAAACTTATGAATTTAATGGATTAACAAAATATCCAAACAGCCTTTAGGCTATTTCTTAAATATTTTGTTCAGTAAGAGAGAGAGAGAACATTTCTGAAAGTCATGTGTGTTAATACAAATCATTTTTCAGATAGAAATTGCTCACTCACTAATGTTTAGTCAGTGAGAGAGTTGATTGATTTTAAACGGGAAAGTTAAGGAGAATCGTCCAAGCATTTTCACTAAATGAGTCTGGATATGGTGTGGAGAGAGACTGATATCTATACTAATTGTAAAGTGCACTTTGGTTTGTTTAGCATTCAGCGGTTCTAATCTGCAGAACTTTTTTAAATTCCAAAACAGAGGAGCAGTCCTGCAGTCTCTCCAACTGGCTGCATGTACTATAGTCTTGTATGGTACTGTACATCTGTGTGTTTATTTATTGGACAGAGTTTACTGTAGAAACTGAAAGCATTTATATTCCTGCTGTGTATGTAATGTGCTTAATTCTGGAAGCCAAAACCAACAATTCCATCAATTTTCAACATAAGTGATCTAAAATGAAAGACTTTAAATACAAAAAAAGCACTAGGATGAGACACGTCTATTTCTTTCTCTTTTTGAAACATAGATTGTAAGGTATGGTTTTGTACAGTTAAAGTATTTGTTTTTATTATAACTAATAAAAACCTGCTAATGATCTATTATCCATTCATCCATTTTTTAACTTTTTCATCTAATTCGCTGGGGAGCCAGAACCTGTCAGCAAACAATGGATACAAGGCAGGCTATACCATGGAAGGGACACCAGTCCATCACTGGGCACACACACAAAAGGGGCAGTTTTCCCAGAAGCCAATTAACCTACCAATATGTCTTTAGACCGGGGGTGGAAACCAGAGCACCAGGAGGAAATCCACACCAGATAGCACATCAGGAGTTAAACCCAGGGCATCATCGCTGTGTGGCAGCAGTGCTAACAGCTGCGCCACCATGCTGTCCAGGAGATATTATACTATATAAAAATATGTTGGAAAATATAAAAGAGCTGTCAGGAAATGTTTTCCTCTCATTTGATGACCAAACATTTTCCTTTTTTAAATGCGTTCAATATGATTTGCAATAGTTAAACATTAATCAGCCAGACATCTTGCTCAGACCTAATCATAAATTATTTTTAAAATGTGTAGAGTGGCAGGTGTCACCTGAAGAAGGCTCTACAGCTGAAACATTGTGCTTCTCCTTTCTGATTTTTAGCTTGGCTTTAACTTTGACTTATTTGATTATTTCACTTTTATTTCAGTTTAACAACATTAAAAAGTCTATTTTAAAAGACTTCAAGATAAAATTACAATAATAATCTTTATCATATTACGTTTTGTAATGATTGTATAAAATAAAATACATTTGTAGCTCTTTTGCACATGCTGGTGCTTGAAGGCCCTTGATATAATATAAACACCCTATCTTCTGAACCCTATCTTCTATTGAAAGGAGACAAACCAGACCAAATTCCCTCTCTATCGTTTTAGAGTCCGACTCATTCTGTGTATTTCAAGAGAAGAAATACAAAGTAGGAGAGAGATGGCACCCTTATTTGGAGCCTTATGGATTTGTGTACTGTATTAACTGTCTTTGCGCTGAGGTAATATACTTATTATTCATCTCTTACTATTGTCTGTATTGTATTATACATTCAGTACTTCCAGTATCAGTTATTGAATTCAAACTAGAACATCCACCCATCTAGATTAAAGTTCTAAAGAATACAATTATACATGACATAATTGAGAAATTACATTTGTTTCACATATTGTTTGGAGGCAGCACAGTTTAATTATTTTTGTTGTCAGAGGACTGAGTATGTTATTTATGTACTGTATACAATGCACTGGATTAATGATAGCATAGCAAGTTTTATGAATATAAAACTATTTGTGACCTGACCTTTTTCGATAAAAAGAAAAATGGCTTATATAATTTATAAAGTATGCTTCCATAGTCCAAAGGTATTTGATTATAAGATTTATTAGGGTGGTCATAATGTGCAGAAGCACTTTAGTTTTACCCCAGCCTCCTGGCAGAGTTCTTGTTCTTAATATTGATGTCAGATACTGTACATCTTGTCTGACAGAGTGGCAATGTGCTGTGTAATCGTGTGAAATGCCCACCTCTTCAGTGTGCAAGTCCAGTGCCAGTTCCTCAACAATGCTGTCACCGATGCCCTGGTAAGTGTTTTTCACTTACATTTTAATCAATGAGGATAAAAAGTCTGCCAAGCAACCTGATGTTTAAAGGGACTGAAGGGTTTGACTCTAATCACCTCTCTAAGGTTTACTGGGCTTTTACTGAAAGAGCAAAACACCACACAAGGAGTACCTGAATTTATTATATTTGGGTTCACTTAGTGGAAAAAAAAGCTAGTGGTTTTGATCCCTCTATTACCCTTTACTGGCACATCTCTGTGTCTCCTTGTTGTTTTTTTAACTGTCCAAAATTCCCATTGGTTTCTAGAATCCACATTACACATTCTGAACCCGTACAAATGATAACTTTCCTTTTTACCTGTTCCATCAAAAGGAGCATGATACATTTTTATGAATTAGTGTGAGAGAAAATGATCTTATTATTTTGGAGTTATTAATATTTGTTTTTACTAGAAATTTAATAAAGTGCTTTACTTTGATTTAGAGGAGAATGGTTCAAGAAGAAGTCATTGAAACAGCGACACAACATCCCCTATTAAAGAGTTGAATGGGAATTTGCATAATTGTTTTAATGGTCATTAAATACACTGTAAAGTATGTTAAATGGATGTATATTTCTGCAAAATAAAAAATGGTGTTCACATATCATGTTTAGTATGCTTTCCATAAGTATAAAACTGTAACAAGAAGACAGTATAAAGGTTCTAAAGATTTGTTACATACTCTATTTATAATATGCACTGCTGTGCAAAATTCAAAACATTTTTGTTCAGCCATATTTATAACAAAGTTGTTACAGTAACAAAAACACTAGTGGAGGCTCTGAGTAAATTGTTGATATTCATAACACATATTGCTCCTGATTATGTCTTAGATATCTCATACTATCACACAGCAGTGTATTTTAATTCTAAACATTGATTTAAAATAGGTATCTTAAATGTATACACATATCATGCTTAGATTGCAATAGTATTTTTCATGTTCGTGAAAAATAAATCTTTAAAAATTAGAATACCTGTCTAGATGGCTGGAGATGGACCATATTTGGGAGTTTCTCACATTTGACTTACAGCTCTTTATTAGGTGTGTTCCACATATGCTATACTGTATGGCCACTGCCATTGCGGTTTGTTTCCAGAAGCTTCTCCAGCTCCACTGGTGACCAAAGTGAGTGGGAAGCCCTGTGACTACAATGGAGTGACCTACCAGCATGGGGAGGTCTTTGTGGCTGAGGGTCTGTTCCCAAATCGGCAGGCCAACCAGTGCTCGCAGTGTAGCTGTTCGGTGAGTGAACGTAGCAGAAATATGGCAGAGCCAGAGTTGGTACATAAACTGCTGGATAAATACTTTAAAAGTAGAAAAACACTGTGAATTCTCAAGCTGGCAGTTTACAGTATTTCTGGAAAATAACTCTTAACCTTTTATCATTTATTGTTGACTCTCATTGGTCATAAACTGCCGTACTGACAAGAAATAGTGCCTATGAATATTCAGTCTATATCTCAATTAAATAGTGTTTGTATTCGTTCCACATGTTGTGTGGAGTTGTACACAATGTTCCTACATTTATATTATCATTAGAGCAGTATTAAATCAGCAGAACTCTGCATTTATAACCATCTGTACAAAATGCCAACAGAGCTACTATTTGCTTCTTTCTGAGATCATTAAACTGAACAGTGCGTTTTCAGCAGAAGAACGTACAGTAGGTCTTGTTCAGAAGAGCTGCACTAGCCCAGCATGCGGCACAGAGGAAAGGAGAAACTATTGAGAAAGGAAGTCTTTCTGGGAGAGCCTTGTTTAACACATTTGAATGAAATTCAATTTCAGGAAGGCAATGTGTACTGCAGGCTCAGGACCTGCCCAAAGCTGACCTGTTCTCTCCCCATCTCTGTTCCTGACTCCTGCTGCCCAGTTTGTAAAGGTGAGAAGAAAATATAATTCCACTGAAACTATTCAGATAGTTCATATCATACTTTTCATATGAACTATTTGAATTCTGTGGGCAATACATTTTTTTAAAATAATCTACCAATTAATAACTTATTTTTCAAGATGCTAATTTATAATTCCCTATTATTAGTATTAATATTCCCTTTTGATTTTTTAAGATGCACTAAATATGCTCTTCCTCTTAAACATGCATTATTTTAAAATTTAGAACCAGTTGTGTTTTTTACTGCACTACATTACTTACAGTCCTGAAGCCTCCATATCTACATATTATTAAAGGGAACAAATTCCCATTTATATTTAGTTTCTCTATACGTTGTGACTTTGTCCTGTCTTTAGCCATTTTAAAATGAGAAAAGCCCATATAGATAATCATTTATCCAAAAATAACCTAAATCACGATTAATTAAGAGGGAAAATGTGGTGGTATCTCCCAGCAGAAAATATTTAGATGAAGAAGAAAGGGTGATGGGGACAGCACAGTGGTTAGCCTTACTTCTTTGCAGTGCCGGAGCCCTGAGTTCAATTCTTGGTACAGTATGCTGTCTGTGAGGAGTTTGTATGTTCTCCCCATGTGTACATGGGTTTTTACCAGTTGCTCTGGTTTGCTCCCACAGTCAAAAGACCTACTGGTAGGTTAACTGGATTCTAGGGAAAGTGGCCCTGGTGTGAGTGTGTGTATGTGTGTGCCCTGTGATGGACTGGTGTCCCATCCAGGGTTTATCCTGCCTTGTGTCCATTGCTTGCCAGATACCTTGTTATTCTGGTTAAAGAGGTTAGAAAATGGCCTGTTGTAACCCTGTTTTGGTTAAAGAGGTTAGAAAATGGACAGATGTATGGACAAACGATAAAGATGTCCCCATTTCTTCTGAAGAAGATGTTCTTTGCATTCAGGTGATGGGGATTCCTCATGGGACCAGTCTGATGGAGATGCATTTCGACAACCAGCAAACAGAGAAGCAGTATGTAGACTTCCTACACAATTTGGGATTTCTGTTAATTAACTACAGGTTCCTCCAGGAGTTCCAGCACAGTCAAAGAAACAATATGTACAGCCAATAGAGACTAATGTCTTCTGCCATAGGAGAAAACAATCATTTCAGACACAGTTTGTATTATACTGTATATAAATACAAGACTGGAGCTGTTAGAAATACAAAAAGTCTGCAGTATAACATACCACTTTTTGCTTAGGGAAAAAGTTTGTCTCTGTTTTTCTTGTGTTAAAAACATTTTTTAAAGTAGACACAAGTATGAGGCACAGACTAGCCAACTTTCTATTTGATGTACTGTTTCCCTTGATTTATACCAATTGTTGCTAAAGACAGAAAAAGACTATTAAAAATATATCATGAAAAAAAATGAAGTTTACTTCTGAAATCAAACAAATCTCAGACTGGAAAAGTAGAATTTATTAAATAACATAACTCAGAAAAGGGAATCACAAAGTACAAAAGCATAATTCATCCTCCCAATATACCTTAAGTAGAATTATTATTTTTGTGTATATATGTAATTTTATCTGATGCACTCTCTGTAGAACAGGCATGTACAGCAAAGGTGTCCCAGTGTCTGAAGTGTCAAACATTCTTTCAGAGGCACTCCTATCACCGTCCTCAGTATGAACTGCTGCCTGTGAAGTCCCTGTCCAATCTGCCTCGCCTGCCTAGCTTCAGGGCTCACAGGGGGCTGATGTCAGACACCCAGCAGACATCTGGAACTATTGTTCAGATTGTCATCAACAACAAAAACAAGCACAACAGAGGTTAGTGCTCAAGAACCTTGTCCTTTGCATCTCCTGCTTCTGTTGTGGCATCAGCAAAGTTGCAGTGTACATGATGCCAGGTCCAGTTTCAGCCCTTTATCAAGTTTAATACCAAAAAACTAGAAATACAGTATCGTTTCAGTTAGGACCCAGCTACAATCTCTTGAACATGTTACATTTATCGCAGTGGTTTTTATGAGAGGTTACATTGTATGATGAATAATTGTTTGAACTTTAAATTAAAAAGATATTTTTGGATTCTTTTTAACTTAAAGACAAGACTGAAGTCTGAAGCTGTTGAAAATAAAGACATTTTGCTTAGGAAAAATGTTTGCCTCTGTTTTCCTTAGGTTTTCCTCTGTGTTAAAACCATTTTTTTAAAGTAGACACAAGTGTGAGGTACAGAGTAGCCAACTTTCTATTTGATGTGCTGTTTCCCTTGATTTATACCAGTTTGTTGCAAAAGACAGAAAGGTATTTCAAATATATCATAAATAAACTCCGTTTATTTCTTGACAGATCGAAAATAATGAACATGTCCACATGTTTTTAATGCGGCACTTCTCACAGTGGTTTTTTTAGAGGTTTCAGTGTATGATGAAGAATTGATTTAACTTTAAATGAAATGGATGCTTCTCAACTTAAACACAAGACTGAACATGTTGGCAATGCAACAGACCACATTTTACTTAGGGAAAAGTTTTGCCTTTGTTTTCCTTGTTAAAACCATTTTTTTAAAGTAGACATAAGTGTGAGGCACAGAGTAGCCAGCTTTCCGTTTAATGTGCGTTTCATTTTATCTATACTAGTTTGCTGTAAAAGACAGAAAAAAGTTATTTAATATATGAAAAAAATTTAGTTTACTTCTTGACAGATCTAATATAATGAACTGTAGTAGTTCAGGTGGGTAACTGCGTCAGCATGCATAGGGTGCAAAGGAACAAGTAATAGGTTTATTCAATGCTGAAAAAAAGAAGAAAGAAAACAACGTTTCGGCCGTGCAGCCTTCTTCGGGTGTCTCACACCTGAAGAAGGCTCCACGGCCAAAACATTGTGTTTTCTTTCTTCTTTTTTTCAGCGTGGAATAAACCTATTACTTGTAATATAATGAACTGTCAATATAATTAATTCATTATGATGAATGTAATGAAAACTAATACAATGTCCACATGTTTTATGTTAGGTTTATCACAGTGGTCTTTGTGAGTTGTTTCAATGGGTTGAATATGTGTTGAATAATTAGTTTTACTTTAAATTAAAATAATATTTTCTGGATGCTTAAGTATTCTGGATGCTTCAGATGTGAAACATAAGAGTGTATAGTTTTATTTTTTTTATAACAATAGCTTTATCTGTGAATATTTTTTAATTTACTTGTATTAGACATGCAAAAGGTAATACCACTGTGAGTTGTGCACTGCTCAGTATATATAAAAAATACACAAATGAAAAAAAGAATTTCTCCTGGGTAAAATGCAGCCCTAATGTGAAAAAAGTTTATTTGGTGATTTAGCTGTTTATAGGGACCAGTTAAATTTTGATTAAGACACTCAGTTTAATAACGCACATTATTAAAACATATTATTAAAACATATCCTTGATGCACAAGGGAAATTAGCCTATCCCATTTTGTCAAACAAAATGATCCTGTACTGTAATGCAACTGACACTAGTTTTATAATGCATTATACAGGTATTTTTTTTCCTAAGCAACCAACAATTAGTCACAATATCTCTACTGCAGCATTACTCATTTTGCTTTGCTTTGTACAGTGTGTGTTTCCAATGGGAAGACATACTCTCATGGAGAATCTTGGCACCCGGTCCTACGGTCCTTTGGTGTCATGGAGTGTGTCCTGTGTACCTGTAATGTAACAAGACAGGAGTGCAGAAAACTTCACTGCCCAGACCTGTATCCCTGCAAATACCCCCAAAAGATTGATGGCAAGTGCTGCAAGGTTTGTCAAGGTAGATTTTTAATTTTTTTTATGGAAATCACATACTCTTCCTTCCAAAATCCTTACATTCTCTGTTTTAATATGTGCTTGCAAAAAGAAAAACCCTTGTGAGTTTCCATTTTCAGCTTGTCTGTTTTAAAACTGACATGATGCAAACCTGTTGTTTTTGGAGGGGATTATATACAGTATGTAGCTCACAAATATGTCCATTCAATATTTGAGTTTTTTATTAATAGATGTAGGGACTTTATGAGTTGTAAAAATGATAAATTTATAATGCCATAATACTTTGGAAAATGATATTTAAAATCAATTGCTTACTGTAGGTACAGTACATCACTAAATAGGGCATTTTAAAATTAAGCAAGCTTTAAATTCTGACTATGCCAAGAACGAATAGTAAGTTTACATGGCTCCAATGCAATAAAAAAAAGAATCATAGTGATTTTTCTTTTTTAACAAACCTACTCCTGTGAGGTCATACAGAAATACACAAATATACCATTTAAAAACACATGGTACACCTGCAACTACAGTACATCTTTGAAACTTTAGAACACATGGATTTAAAAATGTGCATTTTATTTTTAAAACGTCACTCTGGAAATATTTTTTTTGAAAATGTGCAATTTTATGATTATTTGAAAACGTCTTTACTTAATGTTATTATAAATGTACAGGTATATACATGTGCTCGCCAAAACTTTAGGTCACATCAATAGGCCCTCCTGATATGTGGCAAAGAGTTTACAGTTTATAGGAGCTACCACCACCATTATTCAACAGAATGATCTCCAGATTTCAGTCCTACAGAAAATCTATTGAACACGGATTTCTCACACATTGTGTCATCATAAGATGATCCTGGTTCAGTAATAGGATGAGATTGGGTGTTAATTACTGTTAAAAAACTATATCTTAATTACTACAATAACTTTTAAAGCCTTGTGAATTAAATTTCAGTACATGTTGTACTTAGTGCTTGCAGAAGTCTAATCTATTAATTCTTTGGAGGTTTACCAGTGAATGTATTTGTAAATTTTATTGCATTCTGATTGTTTGGCTTTAACATATTAGCTTACTACTCTTTTAGAAGTTGAAGTATATAATAGATATGGAAAAAATGAATATATGAAATTTAATCTAGGATTTTTAGTTTTCAATCTAGGGTATTTAATTTAATCAAAGAAGCAAATACAATCTTTCCGCTGCTTACATGACTTAATAAACGTGGGTAACTAGCTCTTACTGGATTACTACATACAGCATATCAGACTCCAAGATACAGAAGTGCTGGAGATGAGATACAGCCAATAAAGCCAAGCACTGTTATGTGTCAGTGCTTGGACATAGAATATAAATCAGTATAATGAAACAAGCTACCATGGAAAATTTGGCATTTGTCTATTCATTTCATTTGCAAGTGTAAGAAGTGGCTAATGTTGCCAAGCACAGCAGGTCAGATCTGCAAATGTTTGAAACAGAATTAACAGATCTCTCTGAATTCAGAATTTTTCATTTATTAATAAGATAAGTTTAAATATCAAATGTTTTCGTACTTGCAAGTATCTTAAAAAGTGCTTAAATACACCAGGCTACAAATTGAATTTTTTGTCTTTATCTGTTTATCTGTAATATTCACCTATAAAATATTTTTTTGGTGGCTGCATCATGCTTTATTGTGCAATTAACACTGTCCATTGTGGTCTTCTGCAGAAGCCAAAACACAAACAGAATCAAAGGAATCAATAGTCCTCTGACATGTTTGAGTACGTTTAGTGCACACTTAAGTAACTACAAGAGCAATTGTCACTGGAGATTCTTTCAATATTAGGCTAAAGATCTTTTTGAACAACCTTCATACCTGCTACTTAAGTTGAAGATGAAAATATTTCAGTATTGCGATGTGGTCTCTATAATGTTTTTTGTTGTTGCTGTAATCTCAACAGATGATGAGATCACACTCAAGAGAGATGAAAGCAATGAGTATTTCTGTGGTGAAGAGACCCTTCCAGTGTATGAAGCTTTGGTAACTGAGGAAGGAAGTACCATGAGAAAAATTGCACTGGAGACAGAGCAGCCACCTGAGGTAGAACTACATATATGGACAATTGTTAAAGGTAGTAATTCTGTTATTCACCAAGTCTTTCTTGTGTCATCAAGATTATTGTTAATTGGATAGAAAATGTAATGTTCTAAAAATCTGAAAACAATTTTATGGTAGAGAATAAACACCTCACTAGGTTTTGAGGTTAGCTACAGCTTGCCAACTGGAATAAAGCATTTTATTTCTATGGACTCTTTCTTCACCAGCCAGTAACAGTGGCCAGTAACAGTGGGTGCATCAGAAATATGTTCAATACAAATATATACTTACAGATTTTTTCCAATAAACATTAAGTATATCCTACATATATTAGAAACCTTCCTATAAAGGTAGATAGTTTGATTCAATATTCAAGCAAAGTGCTCCAAATTCAGTTTTTACATCAGCTGCACTGTAACGAATTAACACATTAATCACAATCACTGTTGTCTTTATAAATTACAAAAAAAAAACATTTGGAGCAACCAGACTGGGTTACATGAAAATGAGGAATCTTTTATATATAGCATGAAGTAATAGTATCACTATAAATCCTATCTGGCATTCTGTTTCAGTCTGAGGCAGGCCAACTAAAGTAAGCGCCGTAATTACACCTGATCGGCCACTAGAGGCCACTGCCAGGCCTCTAATCCTTGTAAATAGTCTCACAGTAGGTGATAATTAAGTAAGCGTTTAGATAAGTGGTGAAGGGCACACATTCTCACATGCGGTTAGGTGAGATTTTGCTTGGTATTTAAATGGCTTACCAAGCACTAATGAGGGTTTGTGTTTTTTTTTATTTTGTTAGAGTTCTTGCTTTCTGTTTGTCCTGGAAAGACCTACGGTATATTAAAGCCTCTTGGACTTTTCATGGTCATTGTGTGTTTTTTTTGTGTGCAGACACTCAGGACCACCCTGCTTCAGGGTAGGGTCTGTGTCACAGTTATAAATCCCATTATTATGCTTCATGGTTTTCAGATGTATGTAATGGAAGACAGGCTGGTGAGCAAAAGCATAATTCACAGTGATTTCAAGCCCTGCAAGTCAGAGTCTCAGAAACAAAGCATGCCTTGAAATAAAATACCAGGCCAGTCTAAATTAGTTTTACTCAGTCATAAAGCTGGGAACGTAAGAGTAGATTACAAAGATCTCAGTCGATTAATAAGCTTTGAACAGTGTATTCATGGGGTTGATGTAACTGGTTTTCTTCTCTTCTGATTCATCTCTATGGGAATGTGTCACCTGTCTTTAGGTGTGTACTGTATATATTTGTGCCTTTCTCTCACATCACGCTCTGCAATGCAATATAATATTTCCAAAAGCTAGCATTTTCAAATTTTTGTGCTCTTTGATTCTTAATTTCATGTCACAATCCCAAATACATAGACAATAGTCAATGGCCACACTCATACTGATACTGCCTATACTGGTGTGCCATGCAGGTTCCATCTGTACTATGAACTGTTCAATTTTTATGTAGTTAATTGAAAAGGGCAAGATATCTGCTCTTGACTGGATAAACCAGTTATGATTCTCATGTTCAAAAAGCAGATTTACCTGTATGATCCAGCTGTCACCAGTTGGAGCCTGAGCCATGTCAGGTAAACTGTAGTTTGACCAGGATGACAAAAGTAATGATGTACAATTTACGGGGTGCCACCAGTGTTGGGTAGGCTTTTGTAAATTAACATTTCTTGGGCTTTACATACAGCACATCCTAGGGCATTCTGGGTGTCTGCATGCTTAAAGTGATGTCTGAGAGATATGACACTACACCAGCTGGCGCTAACCCTTCTGCAAGGTACAGAAAACCTTGCAACATGTTGCTTAATGTCTAGAACAAGTGTGCCCCGGGTTTTCCTCTGCAATGCAAGCCATGTTGCAGTAAAGATGTGATAAAAAAACAAGTTTCCAATTTGAGTGGGTATAATCAATACAGTTACATGACATAGTAAGTACATGCACACACTTACAGTGTATCTAGGAGTCGTATAGTACCATGGAGAAAAGCTGTTCTTACTGTAGAACATACTGTATACATCAACACCCTACTTCATGAAAATATGAATCTATGTTTTGTTTCTTCAATACAGGTCTTCTGCATAATTTTCACATTGAGAAGATTTCAAAAAAAGATTTCCACAAACAGAGTGACTTCAAGCCCTTGACGAAGACCACACAAAGTATGTCCGCATTGCCCTTCCCTAATAAGACTGATAATTCTTTATGTCGCATGCAGCACAAAAAATGTTGCTTGTCATATGGCCTGTTGAATCTTTACTAAGAAGCAGTTCAATACATCAGCAGTAATGTTCAAAGAAACGGCCGTGTAGAAAATTCATGAGTTTCACAGTTAGAATATCTCTTTTCACAAAGTAGTGAAGGAAATATTCAACTTGTTGTGTAAAGCATGCATATCAAGGGTTCTCTTACTGTATATCTCCTCTTTAGACTGTGAATTGTAACCAAAATTATTTCTTCCATTACATCAACACAACCTAAAACCAACTAATTCTGTAGAAGATAAACATTTGTATAGCAGATTTTTTGTATTATGTTGAGAAGATCGTTTGTCCTTTCACACTGACTCTAAAGTGCATTCCGCGCCACTGCAATAGTTACTGTATGTAAGTAACCTCCAAACACAGCACATTGGTTAGCAGAAGCAATTTTTATCTAAAGTACCAGATAAGCATTTCACAAAATCAGGTTCCTGTGGGTTTTGACATGCTTACCGCTAATGCGAACCCTTGCACAAGTCTTTTACAATGACGGCTAAATTATTTGGAGTAAACGAAGACCTTTTAAAAACAAAAAATGATTGTTCCTACCAAAGGACAGGGTCTAATCCACAGACTAACAGTCCAAATCAAACAATCCATGAAGAATAAACCATTAAAACAGCCTTTTCCATCTCAATCAAAAGCTCACAAATAGTCTGTTAATTTAAGAAATGTGTCTATAGACATCGAGTAGGGAAGACATTTATTTTTAGGCAAATAGCTGCTAGAGTCATTAACACCTGTCCTCACAAAAGAGAATGAACATTTCTAAATGTTATCAAATATTTGTAAACAATATGAAAATTCACATGGAAACTGATGCATAACCATAACATTTTTTAATCTCTAAGGCAGTATTTAACCAATTGGATATTTTCCAGGCCGCTGGAAGATTTTCCGTGAAGGGGAGGCTCAGATCAGTCAGATGTGCACCTTGCGTACCTGCCGGACTGAACTAGAGGACCTGGTGAAGGTCTTGTTCCTGGACAAGCCAGAGAAAGGACACTGCTAAGAGTGGAAACCTCAGCTCCCACAGACGCAGAGCGTCAGCAGTAGTGACAGATCCCTGCTATTGGCTGGACTGTGTGGCTTGTTGAGGACTTGTACAGAGCCTGTAACCAAATAAAGGTAACAAAAAATGTTATTTGAAGTGCATGACAAATGGAGATTCATAGAAAACGGAACTTGATTGTGCCCTGTATTTGAACACTTTTGCTTTTGTTTTCATGCAAAGGTATTTTGAACTCTCCAGCTGCTGAAGACATTTTTAGTTACAGTCATCAGTTCCGTACATAGTCATGTAAAAGCACCACTTGCTTATGTAGTTAAAGTGTCTTTCCAATTCAGGAAGAAATGATTTCATTTGTAAGCTTTATTATTCTAATTGAAACTGAAAAGATAAATGTCATCTTGCCAGCATTCTCAAAACCAGTTTAGAAATACGTATAGATGGAAAAGAATGAGAGATAAGTATTACTGCTCAGCTCTTGATCCTGCATGTATGATACTACCCTGCATTTTGGGTAGTGAGGAAACGTTAAAATGTTGATTATAACCCATTACTGATTCACAAAGCCAGTTGATTTCAAAGTACAGTAGATCTAAATGTTTTCAGCAAGTGGAAGATACTTTAAAACTAAGTCTTCAGAAGTTATCACCTGAAAAAATATTGTTACTTAGCATCAGTATGATGATGTACAGATAGCAAAATGTTTGTGTTTTTACAGCATGGTCATCTTTAACATTGATAAAATGCCTTGTTACTCTCATTACATTTCATAAAAATCTAAATAACCCAAGAATGGTATCTGGTTAGAGAAGACTGTCATAGATGTGGTTCAGCAATCCGTCCCAGGTTTGTTGTTAGACCCTATGCAAGGCGGTAGAATCTGGACAGAGACAGGAGTCGGACTTCAGGGAAGACACACAAGGGTTTATTAGTGATGTTAGTGAATAGTGACAGTACGTGAACAGGTGCACAAGGAAATAATCAAAGGCAACCAAGTCCAGGCAGGTCCACAGGAAGGTCAGAGCATAGTCCAAAACCCCGATATCCAGAGATCCATCCTGAGACAAGAACAAGGCTAAAATCCCCGGGAAGGGGGAACACAAACACAGAACATTGAGGGATCATGGGGTGACATCCTCCAGACCCCGGGCTCAGAGATCAGGGATGTCGGGGATGAGGCCTATGCCCTCAGGCAAGCCATAGCCTGGTAGTAGGTGGGCCTCTAGACATCCACAGTTTATTGCTGAGCCCTGAGCCCTGGAGGCACTGGGGTTATATAGGGAAAAACAAACAAGACACACCAGGAGAACATACAAACAATCACAGAATTAATTACAAGAGAGTAGTGGAGGGCCCTTCTAGAGGAGGGATGTCAACCATAATAGAGACTATTGGACTAATCCAGTTTATTTAGGCATCCCACAACCCTTTGTGTAAAATAAATGTATGTTGTTCCTAGTTTTAAACTTACCTCATCACTATTTCCTTTTTGATTCCTCTGGTCAGTGTTTCACCCTGAAACAATCTATTCTCTTGACTTTTTCTGTGTTTTATAGACTGTTAAACATCTGCATCATGTTCTTTTGTCATCTTCTTCATTCAGAACGAAATAATTTGTTTATTTTCATTAATAACCTCTGTGTAAATCATTTTGATTCCAGAAATGAAGAGACTCAGTCATCTTTGGATCTATTCCAAAGAAGCAGTAATATGTACAGTATAATGTGGCAATTAAAATCAAATACATTTTAGGTAAGGTATTACTAATGAATTGATTACTTTACTTTACATAACATTAAATCTAGCAATCTCTTTCATGTTCTTTCCCAAACTGATGTACAGTATAGGGGATAGTGAGGAGTCAACATAAACACCCGAATCCACTTCACAGATTCTTCAGTACGCCCCCTGTTACATTTATAATAGAGGCTTATGACACCTTCTGTTGCATTCATTTTAGCTTTCCATTGTCACCCTGGTCCTCAGTAGCTTTTATTTTGTAACTCCCTGTTTTTTTCAGCCTTTGCTCTACAGTGGTTGCTCTACAGACACCCCTTTTATTCATCGGATACCTGTTTGCTGGCTGTACCATGATCTACAGTAGATCATTAATATAAATCAGAAACTGGACCTGAAACCCTAAAATGGGGGCATATTGATTTTTCTAGAATTGGCAAAATGATGTGGGACAAAATACTAGAAAAATGCAGTCAATATTGGACACATTTGGAAAGTATGGGAAAAATAATAACAAAAATAAACTTTTTAATAATAATCCACAAGTAGACTTAATGTTTTCTTGAATAACAATAGCCTCTTTTATTTTGCTGGGCTTTGATGCTTTAATAGTAAGTAGGCTGTATTGTAATTTTTGTTTTTGTATCTAAGAGTGAGCTGAACTTGCCACTGTTTCTTTGTTTCTCTTGGCAGAGCAATGATATAACACAAAACAATGGAATTACAGCAAATAATGTAATAATGCTTTTTTATTGCATCCATTAGCAGGTCTCTTATTTGTGCAGAATACTTTATTTAAATTGTGATTTAGTGCTGCTTAATAAGCAAGGGCATATGAGTATACTGGTGAAACTGTCCGATTGCATTCCAGACACATAGCATGTGGCTGTTCTACTAAATTGGTATCTTAATCCTTTGCTGAAGAGTATAAAAGTCAGACTATGGTGCACTAAGCTTTTACTGTTTCTGGGTTGTTGTTTTTTTTGCTACAAAAAGTGTCCCATATTTACTAAAGCTACAAAAGCATTGTACTGGATTACAGGTGAAGGATCCAATGTTACATATGCTGTAAATAAAAGATCTTTAATGAGTAAAGCATTTAGCCAGGGAAAATATCTATGCAGCCATTAAAGGCAAACCAAAGCATGACTGTAGTTTGTAAATGTTTTATTTTTGTCATTGTTACCTTTCTAGGGCATGCTGTGTTTTGCATCAATGATGTATTTTTAAATTATCCTTCTAATATTCTGTACTTCTGTTGTTTGATTTTTTATGTTAAATGGAAAAGATACTGTAGATGTAGAAAAATCTGCTTTGGTTGTTTTAATAAATTCCATCTTATTCCACACTATTAGTATTTCTCCAAATTTGTAGCTTGGTTTTGTTGAAGGCTTATAAAACACTGTCACATTCGTAAACCCCTCCTCTTAAGGACGCTCCAGCCATTCCTTGTTTTTTACTCATCTCCCGCACCTGCTCCCTGTTCCAGCCCCCTTTTCGGTTCACCTTAAAAGCCAGACGCTCACTCTATTCCTGGCTCTGCATTGGTTCCTGTACCAGGCAAGTCCAGTACCTGGAAGGGCCTGGTCCCGTCAAGTTTTTAGTTCCTGTTCCCGTGCCGGTCCCAACCTGGTTCCTGTTTTTTATCCCATTTGTCTTGGATGGACCTCCCGGCTTTGGACTTTTGCCTTGTTTCGGATTCCCCCTTGGACTCACTTCAGGACTGTTTGCGTCAGCCACACCCCGAACACCAGCGCACCATGGAAACGCCCCCTGTTTTCATTTCTGACTCCCGCATGCCCTTTTCCCCGTGTTTTCCTCACTCTACCCCAGATTGTGTTGTCTGTACAGGATCCTGAAAGAACGCTTTCGTTACACACACTCGTATCCAAGTACTTGCAGTGATTTCAAATCATAAAGCCCATTATGTCATAGTCTTGACATTTTTTAAAAGTTGCAATGGATCTATTGCAAACATTTTGATTAATATATTGTGTGTTGACTGTTTGGTGCTATAGTTGAACTTACTTCTTTTGAGGATGTAAAAATGATTTATAATGAACATATGTCTATTAAGTCCATAAGGTGAAAACATTATAGGAGATACGTGATTAATTTATCTCAAGTGAACGGAAATTATATCACCTCCATTACTAAAATACCAGGACAGAGATAAATAATTTCCGAATGTAATAAATCCCTCCTATCAAGATGAGTAAAATCAAGACAATCAACTTCCGTTTGTAGTGACATAATGCTTTGAAATTACTGCAAAAATGAGAAATTGGAACAGTATATTGCAAAAGTATTTTTATCAGTACTGGGAAACAATAACAAATTTATCACAATGTGTTGTAATACAAATGGCTAAAGGACTAGAAAGATACTGATACTAACACAGTAAAAATACAATAATTTTTGTAATTGTTAACTTCACCTAATTAAATATAATTCCTACATTTGAATATTAGTTACTGTATATTTGAATATTAGATACTGTCATGAAATAAACATAAACATGTTTGGAATAATAATTAATGAAGGTTATAATGTGAACATTGAATCTTTGGTCATCCTTCCCAGTACTCTAACTTGACTGTTCTATGGAGAGTTCGAAAGTCTCACTGGGAGACAGCTGAAGCAGAATTCCTCACAGCTGTCTTTCACTGGCTTGTTGCCAAGGATATCCAATTTGCACTGGAAAACAAATCTTCAGGAACTGAAGTAATGCCACTTAGATTTTCTAATCAGTGGCTGTCCAACAATTTGTACACAAGCTCTGACTCGGGTTCAGCCACAAGTGAGACATACTGTAGGTGGGAAGAAACTCAGATGGTTCACTCACCCTGGTGATAGATGGTGCACTGAATATATATTTATTGATTGAGTCACTCAAGAACCCCTATGATCATGTACTATACTTCTATGTTGGTGTACATATAGATTCATACTTCTATAAATCTATAGTGGTGTACAATGTGCATGATACACTGACATTTCATCCATTCATCCATTTCCAAACACTTAATCCAATACAGGTCACAGAGGAGCTGGAGCTAGTTCAGGCAAGCAACAGATGTAAGGTGAAATCACCCCGTATGGGAGATCTGTTCATCACAGGATACTCACAGACACAAACACACACTCACCAAGGGCAATTTTCCCAGATGCCAATTAACCTACCAGTATGTCTTAGTACAAACTGTAACAGAATGGTTGAACCTACCTTGAGCACATTGGAGAACTTTGTATTAAAGGCACATAAGCTAATTTAGACCACTAATAAGGTCAATTTAGAAAAATAGGATTTGAGTAATAAAAGTAAGTGACAAAAAAATTAAAATGTCTCACATATATTCCAGTCTTTACATGAGAGAGTGAAGAGTATTCAAGTTCATGGAAGGCAAATGTTTTGCTTTTCATTTTACTAACCTCCTCTTTCTTATGTGATATGTGTAAATTTGCTATAAACTGCAAAATCTTTTTTATTAGCATTAGAAAAAACAAGTAATAAGATGAAAGGGTGCTGACTAATAATAAATATACTGTCCAAAAAACATAGATTAGTATTTTCCAAGGCAGACACTAAAAACACAGCTGCTCCAATTATCTGCTTACATTGGATTTTTACAATATGTGCACATTATTCTTCAAGAATAAGTTTATATTATTTACCTTGGAAATTGTACGGTTCTGGTAGTGATTTTGTTTTTGCTTAAAAAATCTTTTTCACCATTTTCCACAAAACATAATTGCTTTCCTATGTTTGAGTAAAGGAACAGCACGAATATTAAAATAATTCTATTCAGAAATTGGTTGGTATCAAGTAAGCTATTCAGAAGCAGCCACTTGAAAAGCTACATATCATTATGCGTATTGAAGAGAAAGTAAAACAAAATAGCTCCTATATTTAAAATTGTATGTTAAAATTGGTTAAAATTAGGTCTCATTTAGAAGATTGTGCACATTTCTGGTCACTGTGTTCCCAAAAAAATATTCCTGCAATCAGTCCTCAGAAGAGATACTAGATGCATTCAGTTGCTTAAGGGAACGTAAGAGAATGAGAATGAGAGAGTATGAGGGGACATGACACAACTATTCAAAAGTCTCAAAAGCATTGAAAAATCCTCAGGCAGTGGACTACCTCAGAATCAAAAGTGTAGGATACAGATGGAAACTAGATGGAAGTACATATAAAACCAAGGGCAAGAGACGGTTCTTTATCTAAAAACTAGGGGGATATGGAACAAGTTAAGCGGTCATGTGGTTAAAGCAGATCCAGGAAACACCTGGATAAGATCCTTGAATCAATAAGCTACTTACTACCAAAAGGGTCAGATGTGTCCAATGTTTGTAACCTTTCTTGAGTTTTTTATGTTCTTAATGCTGCCTTGTCATTGCATGGTGACATTTCAAGGACAGTTATTTTTATGCCTGAAGTATCTAACAAGCATTACTTTGCTCCTTACGTTGATAAAAATACAATTATTTTACTTTGTTTATTGTTCTTTAAATTAATCTTTCTGTTGCACATACAGAACACTGTCTCCAGAATTTGCCAGAAATCCAATTGAAACATTCAGCCAAACTACCTTAACTTAACCAAGTAAGGGTTGTAAATCAGCCATTTTAATGCCTTGTATCCCTCCTTAGATAAGAACTGGAAGAGTTCAATGAAACCTTTATAGTTTATAGTTTATAGTTTCTTTTTCCAGTCCGGAAGCTGTATCAGTTCTCCTTAGCAACAAATTGACATTTTTCAGTTTGGCTGTTCCATACAAAAAGGCAGTTAGCTTGATGCTATATTTTAGCTATAATGTTTATGTTTTTAATCATGGTTTGGTTATTCTTTGCCCTTCTATTCACTGTAATCTTTGAATAATTATTTGCATATTGGTACAAATGAAACTGTGCCTAAACTAACCGTACTACTCATGAAAAAAACAAATTTGAAACTTCAAAAAAGTTTAGAAGACAGGCAGTTTATTGTCAGTTCAAATACAACAAGAAAACCTAAATGTATATGATTAATTTGTGATATTCTCCCACTGTTTATCTCTTTGCTGATATCGGGTTTATGAACTGACATAAGTCTTTTAAGTTATATCTTAGCCAAGCTCTAATAGAATGCTTGACTTCAAACATATTATAGTACTGACTGGCAGTGATTAGATCACATTGAAAGGCTACATCATACTACAGGATTATTATGGTTGGGTGAATAAGCAGCCACCTTGACTGTGAATGCTTATATTGGATGAGTGAGTTAAGCCTACATTAGTGACTTCACAAGTAACATAATCAAAAGAAGCTGGCTGCCAATCATACCTTAAAATCTGTTGAATCAAAGTCCTGTAAGGAGGCTTTATTTTGTCTGGATAAGAAGAAACATGGATTTAAACAAACTGATCCGATTTAGTCTTCTTTCTTTGGCAGTTCACCCAAAAAAGAAAGTTTTCTTGACCTGGGATTAAAAATGAAAGAGAACTAAAAATACAAATCACAGTAATTTATTTATGCATTTTGTTCTCTTTTTTCATGTGTTACTAATTAATAACTAACAAACAGATAGCCTTGGAATAAGAATATCTGACACATTGTAGGGGAGTTGGTTGCAAACAGCATGAAAACCATGGTGAAAGTGTGAGTACACACTTCTCTCGTGACCACAAATGTTGAGTGTAGGCATCAATAGTCAAGTACAGTACATTAAATATATGATCCTTCTTTGCTGTTACCGGGGTATGCTTATTTCTGGCCCCTGGTACACAAGAAACCACAGATACTCTACCGTACTTGACCCCAAGGATGTATTACAGCTGTCTCCTTACCCTTGTGCAAAGGCTTACAGTGTAAAGATGGGCTTGTGTAAGTGCTAAGCAGGTATTCTTTCATAGCTTTTTGAAAAATGTTTATCTATATATTCTTTAGAATGCATAGTCCCCTAATGGTGCACAGTCGGTAGAAGCAGATCAGAAGACAGTAATTTTTCTGGGAGGGATGTGACTTGTCAATCAAAGGTAAAGTACCACAACTGAAGAGGGAATGCAAATAGAAATTTGTGATGTCCCAGACAAAGAAATTATTACCCCCCAATCCCCACTCTTCCACATGTTGGCACATTAATACTTATTCCATATATCAAACAGTTTTTGCCGCTACATATTTGAAAATCTATTGATTAAAACTGAGAAACTTGCTTGTGTAACCCATCTCTGCCAAATTCCCTCTCTTTAAACATTTGATGGAAGTATTTATTTACCACAAACTTAACAAATTTGATTGGTA